CGCCCAGTTCCCCACTCTCCTCTCAGATTCCCATGCTCCTTCCCTCTGATCCCCAGCTCCCCGACAGGTCCCCACTCTTCCCTCAGGTTCTCTTCCTCCTCTCTCCTCTCCTTTCCGCTCCAGTCTGAGTTCCCCACTCTCCTCTCCTGTCTGGGTCCCCCACTCTCCTGTCTGCCTGGGTCCTCCACTTTCTCAGGTCCTCCCATCTTCTCTCCAGGTTCCCTCTGCTCTTCTCTCTTCTGAGGTCCCTCTCCGCTCCCTTATGGCCCCCACGTTCTTCCCGGCCCAGGCGCTCTGCCCCTCGTATGCCCATAAACCGAAGACTAGATCAGTGGCGAAGATCAGACGTCGCCCTCCATGCGCCGCCCGTGGGCAGCCCCGGCGGGTCCCTAGACTGGCCGGGCTCGGATTGGCCGCGAAGCTCGGGAAGTGCCGGCTCCTGGGACCACCGACCAATGGGAGCCAGGGGCGGGACCGCGGCGCAGGCGCCGGAAGCGGGGAGGCGACGAAGGGACGTCGCGTTGCCGCGCCGGGTCTCGAGCAGCTGCCAGAGCCGCCGGACGGACCGCCGCCCCCGCCGCGCCATGGCCGAGAGCGACTGGGACACCGTGACGGTGCTGCGCAAGAAGGGCCCCACGGCCGCACAGGCCAAGTCTAAGCAGGTGCCCAGCCAGCGGGGGGCGGCGGGAAGCGGCGGGGCCGCGCGGTGCGCTGTGGGTCGCTGGGCCAAGTCTGGGGAATCCGCCAGTGGGTGGGGACCCGAAGGGAACAGACGAGGGTGGGGACCTTGCGGGACAACAGGTGGGGACGAAGTAGGGGAGAGACTGGAGCAGAGGGCAGCTGACCTGGGCGAGGCTGGGGCAAGGGTCAGGGGTTGGGGGATGGGATGTGACCTGAGCTCTGGACTGGGACGGGCCTGGGTTGGGAACTGGAAGGAGATGGAAACAGGGATGAGGACAAGCGCAAGAGTAGGTCAGAGAACCTGGCTGGCCACTAAATGTGGGGTGGGGAGCAGGGTCGTTAGGCACAGGAGACTGGGGAGCCAGGGCAGGGGCAGACTTCTTGCTGAAGGTTTTGTCCCTACCTGGTGTCAGCTTGTCCCGGCATCACTGTTGGCTTGGTGTCCATGAAGCCCACCCATGCGATCTCGGCCTATAAAGAGTGCTGTCTGAGGCAGTGGTGGTCTCCTGTGGCCGAGTGTCCTCTCCATAGGTGCACTCTGCTTTCTTGAGCCCTGAGTTCTAGGGTACCTTGAGTAGTACTGACCAGCTTTGGCTTTATTTGCTGCATAGTCGAAGCCAAATTCACAGTCCTTTTCAAGGGAACTTGGAGTCATCACAAGTGTGTAGAAAGTCTGAACATACTACACAGATAATGGCTCACAGGCCACTTTTCTGAAACATTACATTACTCAGTGACTGTGACCCAGGCATCACTGTTAGTGGTCCTGTTTCCAGGGAGACTACAGGGTTCTGTGGGGTGTGTCATCTCTCATTAGGAGTCATACTTGCTGAGGAAGCCAGGCCAGCATTCCACTCCTTCCTGCTTTATAGCAGGGTTTGGAAGAGAAATAGCTCTATTTTCAATAAAGAACCTGCTAGCATATATATATATATATATATATATATATATATATATATATATATATATATATATATATATATATACACACACACACATACATACATACATACATATATATATACACATATGTCCGTAAATATATAATTTATTATAGTGCTGATATAGAATCCAGGACCTTGTTTTTTAATACTAAGCAAGTCTTGCCCCGTAACTGACACTGGCTGGATTCCCTTCTGAGCCTTCCGAGTACTAGGATCACATCTGTGGGCCACCACACCCAGCTCAAGCCCGTTTTAGTGTAGAAGTGAGTTGGTTCTTTTAGCAGTAGTTTAATGCACATTATCTGGGTATCTGGGTATTGAGGGTTTGTGTACAGTGTACCCCTATTTCTTTGGGGACACATTCAGTGGATGCCTGAAACTGTGAGTTGTGCCGGATCCTGTATGTACTGTGTTTTTTCTACTCATATATAACATGACAGAGTTGATAAATTAGGCACAGTAAGAAATAGTAATAAGGGCTGGAGAGATGGCTAAGAGTGGGTAAGAGTGCTTGCTGCTCTTGCAGGGGACTCAGGTTTGTGTACCAACACCAACATGGCAACTTACACCTGTCAGAAATCCAGTTCTCGGGATCCAACACCTGTTCTGGCCTCTGTGGGCACTGTATGAATGGGGCACACAGACATACATGCAGGCAAATACTCATACGTGTAAAATAAAAAGAAATACATCCAGAAAAGGGCCAGTCGTAACTAATGTTTGGGGAAAAAACCTGTTATAAGAGTGCACTGTAATAAGAGTTGTGCAAATGGTTTCTCTCTCAGGCTCCTACGTTCCTCCTCTTTCAGGGATGGTGTGAAACGATACCTTACCTAATTTGATGCCCTAAAGTGATGTGAATCACACAACCATTTTAAGGAGCATTAGGCTCCTACATCATGATTTCTTGAACCTGAAGTCTGTTTTGGTGCCTTGGCGGTTATCTGGTAACCAAAGAGGTTGCCAGGTAGATGAGTAAGAAGCAGGTAGCATGCATATGGCATGGGCACAGCTGGACAGAGGCATGGTTTATGTCTCAGTGGGGATGGTACGAGACCACATCACACTTTTCAGAACATACAAAATTTCAAAATTATGAATTGTTTATTATCTGGAATTTAATGTTTCTGAACGAAAGTTGACCATGGATTAACAAAAAACATGGAAAGTGAAACTAGAGTGGGGTGGAGGACACTCTTGTGATGAGTTTGGGTTGTTTCACCCAGCACTGTGTGTCAGTCTTTTAGAACAGTTAGCATGTGGTTGGCAAACAGCTGCCCAAATTGTGCCCCACACTCCCCAAAAGCACCTTTTGATTGAAAACCACTTTCTGGTTTTCTAGGCCATCTTAGCAGCTCAGAGACGAGGAGAAGATGTGGAGACATCCAAGAAATGTAGGTACTCAAGTTTCCACTTGCAAAGCAAGGATGTGCTGTGGGATTGCTTGCCTGATGGTATGGTTGGGTAGTGCCCTGGGGACCTGTCAGGAGCAGAGACCGGCTACTGGGCAGCCAGGAAATATTCTTGACCTGTCCGTGCAGCTCTGGGTGGTGTGAGGTCAGCAGGAACTGTTAACTTTCCACCTTCCCCTCACCACTGCGGGAAGATTCAGGTTCAGGGCTCTGAGGTCTGAAGTCCAGGTCAGCTGGGCCTGGGATCCTGTCAGTCTGGTTTCCATGTGAAATCCTTTCCCCCTCCCCGTGTTGACTGCAAACCATCTCTGCTCTGTTCCGCTCACATTGCCTCCAGGGGCTGCTGGCCAGAACAAGCAGCATTCCATCACTAAGAACACAGCCAAGCTAGACCGGGAGACGGAGGAGCTGCATCATGACAGGGTGACCCTGGAGGTGGGCAAAGTGATTCAGCGGGGCCGGCAGAGCAAGGGCCTGACGCAGAAGGACCTGGCCACGGTGAGGCTTTTCGCGGCTGTGGAGTGGGGCCAGGGGCCAGGCGCTTGGACAGCATAGGGAAGGTGGGCTCACTGCACGGTAGCTTTGGGACCTTGCCCTAGCACACCCCAAATCCTCTGGGAAAGCTGGGTCAGAGAAGCTGCGGCCCTCTCTTGCACAAGACTTGTCTGTGTGGGGGTACCAGGGACCCCAAACAAAAATGGCCGCCTGTGGGCACCTCTCCTGGCTTCTACAGCACATCTTATTGAGCTATAGTATGGCTAAGGTGCATCTTTTCTTCAGAAAATCAATGAAAAGCCGCAAGTCATCGCAGACTATGAAAGTGGACGGGCCATTCCGAATAACCAGGTTTTGGGCAAAATTGAGAGAGCCATCGGTGAGTGTCTTCCCTGGCAGTCTTGGACGAGGCATTGCCCTTCTGTGAGGGTGGCGAGGGCTGAGGTGGCAGGCCCCTGTCCTCTTGAGGCCATACTCCTAGACTCCTGCCTAAAGGCTGGAGGACTGGTGGATTGGTGAGACTCCAGAACCCTAAGGAAATGGTGTCTGGGTCCTTCTATAGCTAGCATCCAGCCAGAACACACTGCCCTCAGGGTGCCTACATGGCACACGCTTACTTCTACAGTGCACCTCCATGGAGGCCCAATGCAGTGTTCCAGTTCTGCTGGGACAAGATATCAAGATGTTTGTCTTCTCATCTTTTTAGATTTTATTTATTATTATTATTATTATTTTGGTTTTTTTCTGTCTGTTCTGGAACTCATTATGTAGACAAGGCTGGCCTTGAACTCAGAGATCTGCCTACCTCTGCCTCCTATGTGCATTAAAGGCGTGCACCCCCACGTCTGGCTTAGATTTTATTTTTTATATAGTCTCTCTGTAGCTCAGGCTGGCCTCACACTCCCATAAGTCCTCCTACCTCAGTCTCCTGAGCTCTGGGATTGCTGGTGTGAGTCACCAGCCTGGTCCTCAACCCTTTATGAGATGCTTGGCCCACACTCTAATGTCAGATGTGAAAGCCGCCCTCCCTTCCTCCCTGTGGAGGCCTGGTGATGCCAGTAGGCAATGAGGAGAGCAGGGAGGTTGGGCAGGTGCAGGAAGCTGCAGAGTGGTCAGCATCTTGCTGGCTCGTTTCAGGCCTCAAGCTCCGGGGGAAGGACATCGGGAAGCCTATCGAGAAGGGGCCGAAGGCGAAATGAACACAAAGCCTCGAAGCCAGTGGTTCCGGCTGAGCTCTTCTGGCTGGTCCCCCAGGACCACCAGCACTGCCGTGGGTCTCCTCACATGGTCAAACGGAACACGGGGGTCAGGCCTGTGTGCCCCCTCAACCCATACCTGCTGTCAAACAAAGCAAAACCTTGCAAAGTGATAGCCTCCTGGCTTTTTCCTCCCTGCTTTCTGACCTCAGCAGGGGTGCGGACCTGCACCTTCTGTCCCACGGACAGCTGGCTGCAGTGGGGAGTTCAGAGCTGGAGGTAGAAGAACTCCCCGGGAAGTAGTGCCTGGGAGGAGGCGCTGTCTTCTGAGAGCCTGTGTTCTGCTGGAGAGAAGCAGGGCCTAGCACTCTCAGCCTCCAGTTCTCTCCACCGTAGATCACAGTTTGAGGGACGAAAGCACTTCCTTCGTTATCGTCTTATTATCTATGGAATTTGACAGTCCTGTCTGTCTGCTCAGAGAAGTGGGCATCGGTCAGCCTTGTAGTAGCTGAAGATGCAGGGTGGTACCTGGCCGTGTCCCACCACCTCTTTCCCAGGGAGCTAGCTGAATTTTGGACAGGCAGGAGCCTGGCTCGGAACATATGGTATCTATGGTGAGGACAGGTTTCCTTGGCTAGGAAGGGAGCACCTGATTGCTGAGGAGTGGATGGCCACTCCCTTGCCCTGAGGACAGCCCTCAGGGCCCTCAGTGAAGCCACAGCATTACGTGGAAGATGGGGACTTCAGAAACCACTGATGTGTCACCATCACATCGTCCTGATTCAGGGTGGCAGCCTGAGCTGTTCTCACATCTCTAGTCCTGTAGTCCAAAGGCTAAAGAGCAGCTTCCCTGGGGTGTCCTGCTGCGAAGCGTGATGGGCACCCAGTGACCTCAGCCTCACCACTTACAGCCTTTCTCCTCACCAAACCAGTTTTCAGGTGCCCGTACACCCCCAGTTTTCCTGTATCTGTGGGGTGATCCCATCCTCATTGGGTCTAAAACCACCTAGTAAGTTAGAAGCTGAGCCCGTTCCTTGCTGGGTAGGGTGGTGGGTCCTTAGGTGGATCCTGTAATTTCTGAGCTGCACTAAAGTCAATGAGGGGGTTCCACACCCACTCTCTGAATTCTGTCTCAGGTTAGGTCTTGAACCCCGGGAGGGACACCCACCTTCCAGCTATGATATGTTCTGCCAAGTACAGCAAATACGAAGTGCAGCCTGAAGCCTGGGTTGCCCTCACTGGTGTAGAATGTTTATTCACAGTGCAAGGACCCCTCCACCCTTGATTACACCAGAGGGCAAAGCCACCAGATGGAGAAAGAGCTGTAGAAGCGTGGGTATCTGGGAGGGCTGAATGCTGTGCGAGTTGGCCGGAGGGGCCAGGCCTTGTCTGGTCTATGAGCTGCTGGTGATGGATTCCGGGAGGGTAACTTGATCCTAGGAAGGAGGGAGGAATATTGGACAATGGCTGTTGAAAGGCAGTCTGGACGTGGATGGATGGGGCAAGGCGTCTCTTCCTGAGTCCTGGCCCACCACTTCTTGCTTTCCCATCATTAAGCATGGAGGCAGAATCTCCCACTTGCCCACATCTGGGGGTTCCTACCGCATTGAAGAGGATATTGTCAAAACCAGAGGTTGCTGCATCTGTACTCCTCTGGAAGGGGCAGGGCTGTTTCTGTAGCCAATGCCGACCCCCAAGGCCCAGGAGCACCAGGAACATGAAGAAGAGGAGGGCCCCCCCAACAGCTATAGGCACAGACATGGGTGCCCTTTCACCTGAGGGCAGAGAGGGCGCCTGAGTTCTCCACACAGCTCCCGGTCCTTGCTTGTGTCAGGGTTCTGATTCAGGACTACTGGGAGGCATGAGCCTGGGCTGCCCAACCCCTCCAGTCCCTGTTGACTCCAGGGTTCGCCCTTGTTGATCTCTCAGCACAATGCTGAGAGCTGCTCCACCCCTTCCTCCCAGCAGGATGGCAGCCAGTGGCTCCCTAACACAGCTCCCATTGTGGTCTCCGGCTTAACCTGGCAGCTCCTTCAAGATAGTTCTTGCCCAGGAGACAGTGAAAGCTGATGCAGCCCTTATGTACAGCCCACCCCACGTGGGGATGGGTCTGTGGGGTAAACCACAGTGGGGAGAGCCCAGCCTAGCCTCGCTTCAGCTGCTTTCCTGAGTGGCCACAGAGTACTTGTAGCCATCGGAGCCACCAACCGAAGCTTGGCAGGTTCAGGACAGGTCTGCCGTCCCGGAGCCCAGTGCTTACCCTGGCTAGGTAGAGGCTGCTGGCAGTGCCGTCCTGCCAAATACTCCACGTCATCGAGGGCAATGGGCCCCAGAGCTGGCTGGCCACCCAGAGTGGCTTCAAAAACAATCTGACCGGGAAGGGAAAGGCTGTGAGTACGTGGAGGGACAGAAGAGAGGGAAGGGAGGACAGCTCCCCTGGGACCTCACCTGGAACTCCTCAGGGTTGGACACTTCGATCTGGACTTGGATCCACTGGTGCCGCAAGTGCCCGCCCTGGGCCCACACAGCTAGTTGGCCTTGAGCACTGCTCAGGAGCACTCTCAACTCACCCTTATCTGAGCAGGAACAGGGCAGGTCAGTTTAGGTTCCCGGGGACACTCTGGTGCCTAACCTGAGCCCCGTTCCCCTACACCCAGGGCCCAGCCACTCACAGAAATGCTCAGGAAAGCCCATGAAGTACCAGAAGTGGAGGCATGAGGCTGTAGTTGCTGGCAGTGGCTCACTGCGAAGCCAGGCTTTTTGGCCCCCAGGACCTAGCACGCTGGTTTCAAAGAAAGCAAAGTGGCCTGGAAATGAGAGGGTGGAATGTGCGTGCTCTTTTGACTTGGTGGTCTCTAACTAGAGGGAAGCTGGGTGAGCACAGCCCAGTTTTGTGAGGTGGTATCAGCCCGCCCCCCACGTAAGCCAGTGCGCACCTGCCTCTGTGCCCAGGGTGTGGTCCACTGTGGGTTTGGGGTAGCGGGATGGGGTGGCTCCGCGGCTCCAGTCCCAGCTGTACGCACCTAGGCTGGGCCCAGCAAGGTGGCTCCACCCACACAGCCCGGATTCAAAGTCACAGGACCCTGCAAGGGATTAGCAGGTGAGCAGGGCTGCCCCACTAAGATCAGCACGCCTGGGCAGGGCCAGGCGGGGCGAAAATCAGAGTTGTTCTTGGCATACATATGGTACTCCGGCCACAGCAGGCTGCTCACCTGGCTGAGCACAGGGCCCGTCTTGGAGGAGAAGGTCGTCCAGAGCCATGTAGGAATGCTCCACACCTGCAGCCACAGCCTCAAACACTACCTACAGGGTGTAGGGCCACAGGTCATGCAGGCTGGTCCCGGCAACCCTTGAGGATGAGAGAAGGCTCTCCTCTTCCCACCCACCCAGGCACTCACCCTCCAGGCCTGCCCAGCCTGCACATTCACACTGCCCAGACGCCAGGCGAATCCACCGTGGGCACTGATGCTGAGCTCCTGGCGCCTTGTGCTCGCTTCCAGGTGTACCCTCAGGGTGCCTACCCACCAAGAACCAGCCCGGTTAGCTGCCTTGGGGGCTCCCCAGTCACGGACAGGGGCCTTTCCCTTTCCTATAGCCCGTCACCTGGGTTACGGAGGCTCAGATGGTACCAGAAGGTCAGGCAGGCAGGCTGGGTCAGGGGCTGGTGCTCCTCTGAAGTCAGAGAGGCCACATGACCCTTGGGCAGTAAATCTGGGCTGGTGTCCACCACCATGTAGTGCCCTGGAGGAAGGGAGCCTGGCATCACTTTTCCTTCCCCTGGCCAGCCCTCTGTACCCCCACCCCAGCCATACCAGTACCTTGGGCTGTTTCTGTGGTGTGGTCTGTCCAAGGACCCCAAGGAGCTTGGCCTGAGGCATTACTCTGGCGCTTCCACAGCCCCAAGCCCCCCGGAGAGAAGCCGCAGTCAGAGTCTTCAAAGGAACAGCTCTTGGGGGCCCAGCAGGGGCCTGGCCGTACAGCCATGTCATCCAGGGCCATTGTGCCGCGGTACCCATCCCGGAGGCCTTCAAACAGCAGCTGAGGGTGGAGAGTGGTAATTGGCGGGGGCCAACCCTACACCATCTACCAAGTGCCAAGCTCACCCTCACCTGGTACTTGGTGCTGGCCTCTAGCTGGTGGTGAAGAGTGACCCAAGCCTGGTGCCAGCGGTTGCCATGGGTGCCTGACCTGGACCACAGTAGTGTGTCTTCCTCCCCATCCTTCCTCATGGCCAGGCGCAGTGTCCCTGAAGAGGAGTGGAGTTTGGAGGGGGAACAGGTCCCCCCCACCCCAAACTCCTGGTGCCTCAAGCTGCAATGGGCACCAACCACATCCAGAGGCTCTAACAGCTGAGACTCTCACCAATCTGGGGCCCATACAGGTGGTACCAGAAGCTGAGACATTCCTTGGGGACAAGCGGCACCTGGGGTCTTGTGAGTAAGAGGGCACCCTGTCCTCGAGCAGGCGGGTCCGTGGGATCCAGGAACATGAGAAAGCCTACAGGGGACGGAAAGCTGAGCTGCAGAAATGCTCTCCCAGTTTGTACTTCCTTCCCAGGCCTCAGAGAGCATGGGTCTGGGAACTCCCCTACCTTGGCCAGTGGTGTGGTCATACTTGGAACTATGGCTTTTTACACGGTGCCAGTGGGCATCTGTGAGGTGGCCTGTGTGCCAGCTGCATGAGTCCCGTTCAAAGTTACAGGAGACCTCTAGGGGTGGGGTAGAGTTGGGTGGGGGTCAGCACTACCCTCTCCCCCCTTCCCAGCTGTGACAAGGATTAGAGGTAGACTGGGTATCGGTCCCTGGGTGGGGATGGGAGGTGGGCAGGAGAGACCTCGGTCGCTCTCAGTGGTCACTGTGGGGTTGCAGTCTCTCATGGTCACATTGTCCACCTCAGCCCACTGCTGGCCAGGGCCATCCAAGTCCACCAGACCCACAAACTCCAGCTTTAAGCAGATGGAGGGAAAAGACTGTCAGTTAAGGGCAGGCTCATACCGAGTCCCCATCCTGGACTGCCATCCTCACCTGGAATGGCCGGTGCCGTGCCCCAAGAAGAACCTTCTCCACGGTCCAGCCCTTGCTGCTGCTGCTGCTTGGGGCCTGCCACACCAGCTCCCGGAAGCCATTCTCCACCACAACCAGTGCCAAGAAGCCTGGCCAAGGGAGTTTATATGGGTGGGTCATCCTCAGACCCTGTCCACCACACAGGGGGGGTCCTGGGGGCTGGGCCTGGGGCCAGGAGGCATGTAGTACCTTGGGGATGACTGTGAAAACGGTAAGTCATGTGGAGTTCACAGCGAGGGCCTGAGGGGCCCAGGGCAGGTGTGCGAGCCCGGGCCTCAGATCTTAGCTGCCCCCAGGCCTTCTGTAGAGACAGGAAGTGCCCTATGGGAAGAGCAAGGTACCCCCTCACTGCTCTGGGAGCCCTAATTTAGACTCTGAGGAGCTCCTGTGGGGAAGTGGCCTCACCAGGAACATCCCGGTCAGCGTCCCTGGCAAGCTTCCTGTTCTGGGCTGCAACCCGTTGCCACTGCAGCCTTCCTATACTCGTGTCCTCCCAGCCCCCAGCAGAGGCGGACTCAAAGTCTGTGGTGCCTGCGACAACAACAGCCTGCTCCAGAAGGCTGCAAAGCCCAGTTCTCTGGCCTGCCCGGGCCCCCTGCACATGTGGAAGCCAGGCTCTGACAGGCCTCACCACACTTGTGCTCATCCTCGCCCTCTGCACACTGCTGCTGGAAGTCGCAGAACTGCTCTGGGGGGACACACAGTTCTCCACAGGAGAGATGTCCGGGCTCACAGGCTTCCAGAGGCAGCTCCATGGACGTCTGGGGACAGAGGGCTAATGCCTCAGATCCAGAACACGATTGCACTGTGGACACATCTGGAGCAGAATTGAAGCCAGGTCAGAGTGGGTGAAGACCTTGCTTTTCCTGGGCAGGCCAGGGGAGGGCCTTAGGCAGATCACCTGGAACAAGTTTGCAGTAATTGGACATGATGAGGTCGTCCAGGCCCACGATGCCTCCTGGACCAGTCTCCCCAGCGAGAAGGATCTGAGGACAGGGAGGGCCAAGCATTATTCTGTCCTGTCTTCTTTCTGATACCCCCGGTTTATTCACTGTTGTACTTCATAAATTGCCAGATACTCTCCACCTCTCCCACTGAGCAGCCCTCAAGAGTGACTGCAAGACGCCCCATGTTCTCCTGCGCATGCTCTAGGCAGGGTTCCCTGGATCCCAGTCACAGCCTGGCTGGCCTCACCCTGAATGGCTGGGCACTTTGAATGTCAACACGGTCTCTGACCCAGGCTGTCCCCAGCTCCCCATGGTGGCTCCGCAGCAGGACAGGATCCGGGGGGGTGTTGAGCCCCTGTACCTGCAGGAACAGCTGGAAGCAGCTGGCCTCAGACCCATGCAGGTAGTAATAGAAGGTGAGCTGAAACAGAAGAAATCACAGGTTGTCAGGGGCCTCTGGCATCAGAGAAGCAGGATGGGCAACCCTGTGTGTGTGTCTTTATTTTCTCACACATCCATCTCACCGAACAGTTGTAGGGGACTGAGGCTTGGAACTCAGGGCTGAAGAGGACAGCAGTGGTGCCAGGCTTGGCCATCGAGACCAGGAAAAAGCCTTTGAGAGAGGGCAAATATGGGCCAGGGTTATTGGGAGACAGATGGGTGGAAAAGGCCATGGCCATGGTCCCTTGGAGACCTCACCATATGCACTATTCCGGCTGTGATCTCGGTGGGGCCAGGCAGGGCTCACCATGCTGCCAGCACTGTGGTTCCGGGTCCAGCCCTCCAACTGGTTCCACAGTCCCAGGCCTGTCTCAAAGTCAGTGGCCATGTGGTGGCCTAAGGAGCGGGGTGAGGGGTTATTGGGGACACTGAGCAGGGCTTTCTGTAGTCAGATGGCCCTGGTTCCAGGGAAACAATGGCTGTCCCACCCAGAGTGGCTGTGCCAGTGTCCACTTTCCTGGACTAGCCCCAGTGTTCTTTGGAGGGCCCAGCGGTCACGGCCTAGCCTCCCAGTCTTATTCTCAGTCCCTCGCCCTGCCCGGCCTAGATGGCCCCAGCCTCACTGCAGATGAGCGGGTCTTCATCAGATCGGTCTCCACAGTTGTCCTCCCCGTCACACAGCTGGTGGGGCTCCACACAAGCCTTGTTCTGACAGTGGTGCTGCCCCAGGGGGCAGCTGGCCTGAGGTCCTGGGGTGGAAAAGAGTTAACATCCACTATGGCCCCAGGATTTGGGATGGAGGTGTCCTGGGGAGGCTGAAGACTCATGGGGGTGGGCAGTGAGGGTCTCCCAGCTTTGGACAGGGTGATGTGTATGCAGCCTTACTGGGTAGCCCACAGTCCCGGAACTCCACATCATCCAAGGCCACAGCACCCCTGTGTGTGGCATTTCGGGTGGCAGAAAATGTCACCTGGAGAGAGGACGGATCCTTAGGATCTAGGTCGGTACCCAGACCTTCCCCATTGTGCCCAGCCTGGAAGACCACACGGCTCACTTTGAAGTCACCCTGGACACGGCCAGTGTTCACTGCCAGCTCCTGCCAGCCAGGACCCCAGGGTCCTGAGCTCTGCCACAGGGTCAGTGTCTCTACACCATGGGTCAGCTCCAGCCGCAGCTCAGCAACATCTGTAGTGTTTTGAGTGGTCTTGAGTGGCCAGCCCCTTGATGCTTCCCTCTAGCCTACCAGCTGTACCCTGGCCCACAGTTCGGAGTATCCGCCTGTTTCTATAGCCATACCTTTCCTCGCCCAGCCTCTTCCCACTTGGCCTTGAACCTCAGGGGTCCACAGCGCATACCTCTAGAGGCTGTGTGGTACCAGAGCCTCAGTTCACAGGTAGGAGCTGCCTCACGCATGACAGGGGAACGCAGAGTCGCAGTGGATGCCTCCTTCCCATTGTGGGTTCCCACAGCCATGTACCAGCCTGGCCAAGGGTGAGAGGTTAGGAGGCCAGCCAGGAAACCAAGGCAGAAGGGTGGTGGAGTAGTAATGGTGCATGTACACGGATTCCTTAGGCCTTACCCAAGTCGGTGCCATGTGTATGGTCAGAACGAGGCCCAGGACCGTCCAGCACTGCCCCTGCCCGGTCTCGAAGCCAGCTATAGCCTGAGGTGCTGATGTCCTGCCAGCCACAGGGGTCCTGCTCAAAGCTGCAGGTGAAAGGGATGCTCATGCTCGGGGTAGTTGAAGCACCGTGGAAACCTACGAGAGTGAGTGGTCAGGGGTCTGTCTCTACACCGCCACTCCCCCCCCCCCCCCCCCGACCAGCTCACCACACTGGGCTTCATCTGAACAGTCTCCACAGTCACACACAAAGTTGCACACAGCTTCAATGGGGCTTCTGCAGTGGCTGGGCACCCAGGTCTTGCCTAGGGATTGTGCAGCTGGCAGAGTAACAGCCAAGTGAGCGGAGGGCAAGGCGTGACTGGCTGTTTTTATTTTTAAAACATAGAGCTGTATGGGTCTGGGTCCATATATGTGCTGTGCAAGAGGTGGAGGTCATAGGACAACTGAGGTGGGAGCCATTTATTTCCTTCCACCGTGTGGGACCCAGGGACCGAACAAGTGCCACCAGGCTTGACAGCCAATGCCTGGACCTCCTGAGCCATCCTGCCAGCTCTGACTGGCTGTTTTGAACAGTATAAATTCTATGTCCAGAGAAACCCCAGACCTAAGCAGGCCAAGGTACTAGCCGACTTGACTTCAGGGCTCAGCCCTATGAGATCATATAGAGAGGAACATGACATCTACCAAGAACTGCCACTGTGGCTCTACATCAAGAGTAAACAAAATGCCTTCCCACCACCTTCCTAGCCCCACAGAGCCCCTGCACGCCAAGGAGGGGAAAGGGCTTTTGATAAAAAACACCCCATAGGGAAGGCACAGGAGCCCACATGACTAGGAATTGGAAGTTTCCAGTAGTGTCCGCTCTCCCCCACCCCCCTCCACCCGCCCCGAATAAGAAGACACATTGAGGACAGCCAAGGAACTTCCACATGTTCCAACAGGGAAGGTGGCAGGCAAAGGTTCAGGGAGCTGGGTAGATGGTCACCTATGATGTCCCGTGGCCTCTCCTCTAGGACAGGGAGATAAGATGTAGGTGGGCAATCCCTGGCCCTGTTGGCTTGTCCTGGATGTCCCCATTGTAGACAACCTGCTCTGACAAGTTCCTGTATCTGCCGTGACACCAACTGGCATCCAGGCAGGAGTTTACTCACCTATAAACAGGACCAAGGCTGAAAGGAGGTTGCTATGCAGGTACATGGCCAGATTGGGATGTCCCAGGGCTAGGAAGGCTGTGTAGCCTAGAGGAGACTACGCAGTTATCAGTCCACAGTGGCCTCACCGGCTGACTTAGCTCTCACTGGAAAGGGCTCAGCTCCTTTATACCTGCAGCCCCTTGGCTGGGTCCCACGCAATGATGACAGGCCAAGCATCCAGCTGTAAAAGTATCTCTGGAAGGGGGCCCCTGCTTGGCTCTTTCTGACCAAAGGTCAGGTCTTGGCCATCCTGTGCATCCATCCAGCCCTGCCCTGCCCTGCCCACCCCACTGGAAGTTTCTATTGGAATGTGGAAGGCTTGGGACCCCAATTGCAAGGCTCTCAGATTCTCTAAGGGGGCCTAGAGCCCCACCCTGGTGCAGGCCAAGGATGTCAGGACAGTCTACTCAGTGGCTGTACATGGCCATCCAGTACATGTTCACAAGCTTCCTCCTCTCTGCTTAGGGGATCAGATCAGGACAAGTCCAGGATCAACAGCTTGCCTCTGTGGACCAGGACAAGTCCTATGTCAGGATGTGGTGTCCTCTCTTCCACAGCACCTGTAACTCAAGCTGTGCCACCCTGCCAACTATTCTGGGGTGTGTGTGTGTGGGGGGGGGGTGTCTCACGTGGCCCAGGCTGGCCTGAACTTGCTATGTAGCTGAGGATAACTTCTGATCCTCTTGCCTCCGCCTCTCAAGTGCTGGGATTATAGGTGTCCTTACCACATAGTTTATGCGGACTCCAAACTGAACATGGGAATTTCATGTATACTAGGCAAGCGCTCCAGCCAGCTGAGCTCCGTCTTTAGCCTCTTATACATCTTTAAAAACTGTCCTGAGAAGCCATGTGCTGGGTGGTCAGTGATAGGAAAATCTTTTTTTGTGTGTGTGTGTGGTTTTGAGACAAGGTTTCTCTGTAGCTTTGGAGCCTGTCCTGGATCTCGCTCTGTAGCCCAGGCTGGCCTTGAACTCACAGAGATCCACCTGCCTCTGCCTCCCGAGTGCTTTGAAGAGCTTGTCATAAGGAGCTAGGCTCTGTCTAGGACTTATCTTCGTGTGACCCTGGGGCTTGTCTCACCTGGGCCTGTCTGCTGGCCTATTATACAAGGGTATCTCAGTAGTGTCAACTTGCAGTCTACAGGAACGCCATGAGCTGACAAAGGCTGGCCCATGGATGGTAAGGGATGCCCCAGCCCTGGCTTTCCCTGGTACCGACTATAATTGCACACTGTGCATGGGACTTCTTAGAGCAGGGGTTAACAGCTTGTCCTTAACCCTGTCCTGTGGAGGTGGAGCTGGTACAGGGACTCAGGCTCAGGAGCTGTGAATGGTCCAGGGACTAAGACACATACGAAGTCAGAAATCCTCAGTGAATGCAACACAGACAGTTAGCCTCAGCTGCAGGGTCCTGGGGGTTGTGGGTAACATCCTGAACCTTCCCTGCTGGCTGGATGGAGAACAGATGAACAATGCAGCCTGTCAGCTAGCCAGGACAGTGACTGCCAGGACCCTTTCCTGCTGGGATTCTTAGATGAACTACAGGAAGGGGGCACTTGTGGGCACCCCAGGCTTTGGTTGGCAGGAACTGACTTCTTGTGCAAGGCCTCATGGGGCCTCCTCCCAGATGTCCTTGGAGATAGCAGTTCCATGGAGGAGCAATCAGGCCATAAATGGCAGCAACTCAGGGGCCCCTTATCTGAACCCAAAGGGCTGAGTATGCACCAGTAGTCCCCAGGGCCTCCTGGAACTGAGTAGGTCTATCCTGTGGCAACCCAAAGGGAGAGAAGCCAAGACACAAGTCAGGGACTAGCAGGCAAATCAATGCTTTTAATTCCTATGGACAGATTGGTCTGGCTTCTAAGGCTTGGCAGGTGGCATGTTGCCCAAGGTCCGAAAGGAAAGCACTGGGACAGCCCCTCGGAGACAACACAGGAAGAACAGAGTCCTGATTTAGTTGCTGGGGGAAGAGCCTCAGTAGCCATCATCAGCCCAGGTGACCTCATAATCAGGATACTTGGCTTTGATCTTCTCAGTTGAAACAGAGTGCTGGGCACGACCATAACCCTAGAGAGAAGATGACTACTAGTCTGCCTGGCCTTTTGCTTTGCGAGTCCACCCAGCAGCCACAGCAATAGCAGGCATGGGAAAAGTAACCAAACCCTACCATCCTAACCATGCTGGGGACAGAAAGGGGACTGAAGGGGTGGATAGGTGATGCCTGAAGCTCCAGCGTGGTCTTCATAAAAAGAGATGGAGATGGTCAGGGCTGTGATTTGACCCCAGCAATGACAGCCCCAAGGGCCCTCCAAAGAGCCAGGACACAGACCCATAAGGATCTAGGACAAGGAGGGAGCGCAGCCCAAGGCAGGTGGCTTCCAACCACCCTGGTGTCACAGGGGAAATGGAAAGCCACAGCCCTTAAGGGTTCTGTACTTCGACTTTGAGAGTCTCAGAGGTGGCCTGAGGGGCAGGACAGGGGGTCAGGCTCACAAGGATGAGTTTTGCAGTCTGGGCTGGGGACTGGAGCTCACCATAGAGTAGCCATACACGTGTATCTTCCTGTCTTGGCTCTGATGGGAGATGCGTCCGCCGCCTAGGCACTCACAGTCATAGCCATTCTTCTGCAGTTCGCCTGACACTTTGTCATAGATATCCGCTGAGGTGGGGAGAGTGGCCTCAGAATGTGCTCTAGTCGCCCTTGTTGGCCCCATAATGGACTCTAGTGCTAGATATGGGGGGTCTGAAGCTCCAGGTCTCGGTGGTCTTTTCCCCAATGGAGATGAGCCCCTCCCCCCGCAAGCACAAGGATGAACGGAAGAAGATACTTTCGAAGTGGGAGAGGGAATTACCAAGGGTTCTGTCTCGCACTCCTTCTGCCCAGAACCCCGACTTTTCTAGGTCAGCCTGGCTACGTGTTAGGACAAGGCACAGGACATTAGCATTCACTGCCCTGCCACTAGCAACTGCTAGGTTCACGCCCCGCCCCCAACCTTCGTCCCACCCCTCAGACGCAGAGGCCCCGCCCTCACCGTGGTACTCTGCCCATTTGTAGCCGCGCACGATTTCCTTGCACTCCTTCGTCGGATCCCCGGAGGGCGGTCCTAAGTGGACTCGAATCAGCACGTACTTGAAGACGCCGTCCGAGTCAATGTCCACATCAGGAATCTGAGCGAGGTCGGCCGCCATATTCCCCAAAGCGCTCGGCCTCAGGACCCCAGAACCCCTTTCCCAACCCGACCGAGGCCTAGCGTGGGGGAGGCGGGCCCTTCGGCAGCCCTGGCCAATCGCGTGAGGGGATGTTTCCCGAGGCCCAGAGCCTCAACCAGTTGTACTTCCGACCCGAGGCACTGACTAGCCAATTGCAATCCAGTTCTTTGCAGCTTTGAGATCCTGAGTACCAGTTAAAGGAGCTGCAATGTAGGGAAACCCGTGAGGCTGCAAATCAAGCTGCTGGAGGTGGGGCAGCGAAAGAGGATGCAGTGACGCACCCCGGCTCCACTCCTGGGTCCTAGGGCTTCAATCCCCTAGCATAAACCATTAAATCCGAAGTCTTCCCCAACACCCATAAGCCCGAAGATCTCTCCCCCCCCCCCCCCCCCCCAAGTTCAAAGACTCCCCTACCTGACCCCTTTCCACCCTCGGGCCTCCCCTTCCACAATACCCTCTCGTCCAAGGTCTCCTGCTGCTAAGCTCCTACACCCAAAGCCTCTACCCAACGCTCCCCACCACCATCACCACAGAGTTCGCAGCAGCTACATTCAAGTTCTATTTTACTTGGTTCGAAAGCACTCGCCCTTTAGAAATGGGCGAGTTCTGGCCGGGGGCATTGTGGCCAGCCTGCCGCAGGAAGGAAAGTGGAGCCCCTGGGGAGGGCGGCAGGCTGAGCGGCAGCAAGTGTTGCAAGAGCGGCAATCGGGGCACACAGCAGGGAGGGGAGTGACGCATGCGCGCCGCGCGCGCTGCAGGGAGTTGTCCCAGGCTCTCGCACTTGACCTCCCCTGCCTCCGAAGGGGCTGCGGGCTCCTAGAGAGCACTTGTCCAGCCTCTGGTCTCAAGCCTCTCTGGGTCACACCCTCCACGGAGCCCTGGGCGCGGACCCGAGTGCAGTTAGGCCTGCACGGGTCCAGCAAGGGGCCCAGGGCTGCCTAGGCCTCAGGCTTTGGCTTCCACTCTCAGCTTGGAGCTCAGCCAGGGCGTGTATGCGGCACGTTTGTGCATAGGGTTGGACTCAGGGTAGGCCTCAGTACCGGCTCCCTAACGGCGCCCACACCTGGTGCTCACTACTCTGCACCCCAACCAGTTCCTAATTAGGGCCAGCCCCTGTTCCTTATTCATCCCGAGTCAGTCAGCAGGTAGCTGTTGCTCTCTGTAGGGTCCCCTGCTAATGCATTAGCACACGCTTCCCACCTCCCTGGGAGATGAAGGCCTGAGCTTCCATCTTCTTTGGAAGGTGGATTTTTAGGGCCATCTTGTTGAGTAGGTGTGAGCGAATTCAAACCCTTGCCCGGTCAGAGTTTTGACTCTGGCCTGCCCACTACCCACACTCTGCTTCCCCTGCTCAGGTTCCCCTCTGGCTGGGTGGCTTGTGCCTAGGCCTTGGCCTGAAGACACCCCCCCCCCCCAGTATTCCAACTGGTTCTGCAAGGGCCCAGACCAAGGTGACCAGAGGTGAGAGAAGATCAGGATAGGCAGCACTGTTAGTGTGTGGTGCCCGCCCTGCCCATTGCCTCAACAGCGTACGGATGCACAAGGACTAGGCCTCTGAGCCTGACCCCCCCCCCCCCCCCGACACAGGAGAAGGGTTAGGGGAGTGCTTACAGTAAGGACATTAGGCTTTGGTCAACATGAACTTCTGGACTAGGAGGAAAGGGGATGAATCTAGGGCTCGGGAGCTGTAGCAAGCACCCACAATGTGTATCAAGTTTGTCCCCATGGGATGTATGTAGTAGGAACCTTCCACTAGAAGGCAGAGCCCAGCGGTCCTCAGGCCCACCCCACCTCCCAGCGGGGAGCACCGAGGGCGAGGACCGGGCTCTTGGGGAGCCCCCTCTCCCTGGCTGACTCGGGGAGAGCCCAGGATGTGGGATCTGGGTGGTCTGGCTGAGAATAGGAAGGAGAAGAAGCCGTTGATGGGAAACAGGACGGCGGGGGTGGGGCGGGGGTGGGCTCCTAGGCGAAGCTAGAGGTTTGGAGTGGGTGGAGCTCTCAGGGCAGAGACTTTGTAGAAGACTGAGGGAGGCTCCGGGGGACAGATTCTGGGGGCGGTCTTGATGGATCAGGCAGGGCCTGAGTAGAGCAGGCAGGGCTCTGGTCAGGACCTGGGCCTAACATCCCATGATGTCGTCTAGCTCACATGATGTCGTCTAGCAGATTGGCACTGGCTACCCAGTCGAGTGCTCGTGGCTCGGAAGCAGCCATGATCATGCACATGAAGGGGCGGCCGGTGCGCCGATCCGTGGGATAGATGGTGGTGGGCGTGAAGCGCCGGTTAGCCTCTACGAACTCGCAGAGCTGCTCGTAGACCCGTGGGAACTCATGGCGGAGGAAGACGCCGCGCAGTCGCAGTTCACGCTGGATGTGGATGAAGGCCACTTCACGCGCGCGCCGGCCGGCCTCACCCTCCTGGTCCAGGCCCGCAGTGCCTGGAGGTGGCGTTAGGATCAGCGTTTCCATGTCTGGCTCTCCACCACGCGCAGGAGGAGGCCGCGTCGGGCTGCCGGCGGCCAGGGCCACCTTGGCGAACTTGCGCACGGTGGGCCCAGGGCTGCGGGGTGCTGGCCGGGCAGCGGTTCCGGAAGGTGCAGCGCCGGGGCCTACGGCCACCGACACACTAAGCAGGAAGCACTCCGCGGGCTCATAGAGTCTCCCGGCCGCCGCCAGCTCTCGTGCATAGCTCCCCAGGGGCGCCGCATGGGTAGCCAGCTCACGCAGTGATAGGTAGGTGGGCGACAGCAGTAGCCCTTCCAGGCCGAAGCGTAGGAAGTTGTCGGCAGAGCCCGGGCTTGGGAAGCCCAAGAACAGCACGCCACGGCCGCGGGACAGGAATCCGACACGCGCTATGCGCGAGAAGGCGCGATGCACTGGGCTGCTGTCACGGCAGAACTGCAGCACGTGGCGGCACACGCTGCCCACGCGGCCATACACGCAACGCGCTTTGTGCGCATCCCAGTCCTCCCGGCGGCACAGACGCGAGCAGTAGTAGGTATAGCAGCTGTGGCATGACTTGAAGTAGAGGCAGGCATTGAACATGGTCTCCGTCCGCCGACAGCGCGCGTTGGAGCAGGTCATCAAGTCGTCCTCGTCTGCGCTGGGCTCCGGGGAAGCGTCGGCTGCCTCCCCCGAGCCGGTGGGCTCCTCGTTGCTGCCAGCCGAGGCTGGGGGCGAGCGCGACGGCGCCAGCGCCTTTGCTCCTCCAGGGCCCACAGGCCGTGAGTCCAGCAGGCGGCGCAGTTGGCGGCCTAAACCTTCGGCGGCGGCAGGCTCCGGGGCCTGGCCCGGTGGCCGTGAGTCGATGACCAGGTCGGTGATGAGCTCGTCCAGCTGCTCGAGGCTGCGCTGGCGGCTGGAGGCAGGTCCCTCGGGGACCGTGGGTGCCGGCTGCCGCGGTCGGCCTCCAGGCAGTTCCCAGCCCCTAGCAGTCGGGCGCTCGACTGAGCGCAGGTCGTTGTCGGTGATGGTGATCTCCGGCGTGATGTACCAGTTGCGGCCCAGGCTTTCTCCACCACGGCCCTTCTCTGTGAGTGACGTCTCGGACAGCGACAGTGCTGCATAGCGTCTGGGTGAGGTGGACAGGTTCACGACGACTGGTGGGCGCCGGCCTTCTGGGGATGAACCCCGTGTATCCCGAACCTCGCGTCCCAGCAGGTTCTCATAGCTGCGGCCGCGTCCTAAAGGGTCTTCACGGCGAGGACCGGGAGCCAGGATGTTGTCCCAGGATCGAGAGTAGTGGCGGCTATCTGTCACCAGGCGAGGCGGGCTTGTGCCGGTGCCACCATGCCACGAGGCCAACAGTGGTCCAGGGGCGGGAGGAGGTACCACCTGAAGGGTGCGGTAAGGCCTCGGACCCCAATCAGCCCAGGCTGAGCTGCTGCGCGGATGCGGGTAAGTCCGAGCCATTGCGTCGCGTTCCCGGAACCTCCCATAGTCCTCTGTGTAGAAGGTGCGGGCACTGGGGTGTGCCCGGGGCTCTTCTGGGACATACCGGGGGACGAAAGGCAGGCCGTAGGCTCGAGGTGTCTCCCCGTAGTAGGAGCGGGAGGGGGGCTCCTGGATCGGGAACGTGCGTACTTCCCCAGCATAGTAGCCGCCCACACGCCTTGGACTGGGTCTGGGGGGTTCTTCGGTCACGTAGGGCCTGGAGCAGTAGCCATCAAAGGGAAGGCCCGGGCTTGCGGTAAAACTGCCTGCGTAGCCCTCAGGTTCCTCGGTGTAGAAAAATTGGGTGGGACCTGGGGGCGTTGTGAAGGCTTGACTGCGGTGCTCCAGGTAGTCACGGGGCCCAGGCAGCGGCCCATCGCAGTACACTGCTCTGGGGTCGGTACAGTATAAGTCACTAGGGGTGGGAGTGCGTGACAGGGCCACATGGCGGGGCCCTGGAACTGTGAGACCATGGAATTGTGGAGCAGTGCGAGCCCAGGGCGTCCCCTCGCTGGGCGCGTAAGGTCGCGAGCTTCGGGCGGCGTGCTGCAGCACTGCCTCGTCCGGCTTGATGTCCAAACGGCAGCGGACGTGGGGGACAGGTCCTGTGGGTGGTTCGGACGGCGGCGCACAGCGGCCTGGGGTGGCGCACAGAGGTGCGATGCGTCCGGGGCCGCCCCGTTGTGGCTGGAGCTTAATGGGGTGCAGCTCATTGGCGAGAGCCCGCAGCGCAGGGTACGAGGGCTCCCGGTGCGGGGACCCCTCCAACCTCACCGAGCGCTGGGCTTCCCGGCCCCTGCGCTGCAGTACCGGCGGTGAAGCTGGAGCGGGCGCCAGGCCATGGGGCGCACGGGGTGCGCTCTTGGAACGGGTGCGGCGCCGAGACTCGCTGTCTCGGGGCCGGGCACGCGGTGGGGCGGGTTCGGGAGGTGGCGGTTCTGGGTGCGTCTCCATGGTGGGCTCGTCCAGTGCCTCTAAGAAGTCGAAACTACGGCAGTGGCGCTTGTTGAAAGGCGCGGGCGCAGCTGGCCGGGTCACGGATCGCTCACATGGCTGGCGTTTGGACGTGAGCCCTGGGGCCACTACCTTGATGTCCTGGTACACGGTCGACACCAGCAAGTCCGGCGGGTCCGTGCGGGTCATCTTAAAAGACGTCCCCAGGCTGGCAGCTCCAGTCACTCGGCCTTTCGGGGATTTTGCCCTGGGAGGAGATACCGGTCAGGGCAGCCTCCTCTGCACCCCAAGCCCTTTACCTCCACCCCACCCCACGTACTGGTCCGGCTTACCTGGGGCATAGGGGATGGAGCAGCCCTGGCTGCAGGTCTTGGTCAGGGCTTCTGGTGCTGGATCCATATCTATGTTAGAAGTACCTGCAGGAGAAACCTCACGGTCCATGCAGCCTGTTGGGGCAGATATGCCGGGAGAATTTAGTTTACAGTGAACCCACCTTTGTCCCCGATGCGGGAACTCCTGAGTCTCTCCCTATGCTAGGGGTCTGCTGGCCAGACGTGGGTAGATCAACCGGGGAATGTGTGGCAGGACTACTGCCCTCTGGTGCCTACAGTTGGAATGATGGGCTTTAAGATTTCCTTACAGGTGAGACTATAGCCCCCTCCCACCAGCACTGCCCAGCTACCCCTCTGATAGTGCTAAGTCCCCGATGAGACAGTGGTCTCTGCCTGCTGACTAGGCTGGGCTGAGAACTCCCCTCCTAGCATTCCAAGTGCCTTTGCACTGGGGACAGTCCTTTTTACCCAAGCCGATGTCCCCTCAGTTTGATGGGGTCCTAGGCAGAAAAATGACCCCAAAGAATTTTCTTGGGTCTCAGATCCCTTTTCGTTTTGAATAAATCTCTGACCCCAGTTCCTTGGATGAAACCCACCGAGCTTGTTAGGGCAGAGAAGGCTGCAGGGCAAGCCCCTCCTGTTTTGCGTAATTGCAGTGACCCCCCACCCCCACCCCCAGTGTGTGCTTGGCGTTCCTGAAGCCAGGCTGCAGAACCACGTGGGGGCCATGTGAGCCACGAGCTCACAGTGTCATTTCCCTGAGCTGCAAACTAGCACTAGTGTACCAAGGCAGGAGGCTGCCAGCTAGGAGGAGGCAGAGGAGAGGGTGGGAAAGCAGAGGAAAGAGTGGAAAAGCCCCCCACCCCCCAGGACAGAGTCTTCCCCACTCTGGCTTTGGAAAGCTCCATGGAAACGTGTGGTTGTTCATCCCCGGCGCTATGGACTGGAAAGGATCTAGGCTAATGTTCAGATGTGGGCCACCAGTGTCTGTGGTCCCCAGGGCCTTGAGCTGGCTGGAGAAAGAGGGTTTCGGAAGGTGATGACACTCCCTTCCCCCATAAGGCACCTACTCCCAAGACATTTGCTCCAGAGTAAGCTGAGTGTGTTGGGGCCTGGCAGGACTTGTAGGTGGATGGGCCTTTCGGGGTCAATCTCTAGTCCCGGGTGTATGAGGGGCTGTTAGAGGGGCTGCATTTTGGAAGCAGGGCTGCTAAGTGCCAAGGCTTGTTCCAAACCCAGGCTCATGCCGACCCTGTTCAGACCCCTTTCATTCTAAACTCAATGCCAGGTCAGAGTTTGGGCTAGATGACAGGGTCTGAGGCTCCGCCCCAGGAAGGTGACAGCACGCTTTGCTGGCTGCAGCTGTCAGGAGCTGGGCGCTGTGACACCCGCTCCCTGTGGGCTGGGGGTAGGGCTTGCTTTTGTATCCTAGGTATTTTGAAGCCCCTTCCCACATAGCAACCCTTCTCTGGCCTGTCCCGGAGCAGCCATCACTAGGACCTAGTCTGCGTTGCTTGGGGGCGGGGACTCATCCTCCCGTGCAGCCCCCTCCCGTGCCAACAGCTCCACATGTTGGACAGTTTGGCTTGGCCTCTTACCTGGTTATTTCTCCACGAGCTGAGCCCAGGTAGAATGCATAACCCAAGTCGGTTCCGATGTGTACCTGGCCCCGCTATATAGCCGGTACCGGCAGAAGGTTGGAGGCAGCAGCTCTGATCCTGGCCTGGCTGCTCAGTGCTGCCCCCAGCGGCGATTAGTAGGGTGGCACTTAAAGGGGCCGCGCTGGAAGGGAGGTGTATAGAGGGGGTCCAGATACTATTGGTCGCCCTAGCTCTCATTTGGGCCGTGTAGAGTGAAGGGTCACGAATAGCAGACCCAAAGTACAAGTCTTTGGGTCTGAACAGGGGTTCCTTGCACCAAGAAAAGCCTGCCAGCAGGATTCCAGGCAGGGCCTTGCAAGGAACCCAAACTCTTGGCTTGGTGGCAGAGAATCTGGGTTTGGGGAGTTTCCAGAATGCACGCCTGTGGTTGGACCCAGGTGGAAGCAGATGAGCATTCCCTGCCCCATTGGCCTTTCCCCAGGAACTGTCCTCTTTGGCTCTGAAGCCGCCAAAATCTCAGCAGGTACCTGGGAGCCAGATGGCTTGCTCAGCCTGGAGTGCAGCTGCAACTGCCAGTGTCCAGAATAGCCTGGGCTGCCACCGCCTGCTTCCTTTGGGAAAGGTTTTCATGTGGTCCACTCCCCATTCTAGCCCTGCCTGCCCCTTGCCAGAGGCACTGGGCCTTCCAGCATTCTAACTTGGTAGATGATGGGCTACAGATGTCAGACCTGAGAGTAAGACCTGCCTCGTTAGGCGCTAGGCCTGGCAAGATCCTGTTGCTGCGGCTCATTGTGTAGTCCTGGGCTAATTTATTATAGACCCTTTCTCCATATCGGGGGTCCAAAAGGCCAAGCTGCATGCCCCAGAGCACCTGCTCAGCTACCAATCTGTATTGTGTGTACAGCCTCATAGCAGAAAAGTAAGGGAAACCCTGCCTCCCAGGCCTAGGAAAGCGCACTCAGCCTTGGCCCCCAAGGAGGCACAGCAATACGCCCCGCCCCCAACGTCACTAACAGTGCTACACGTCTGCCTGCCTCTGGAGGGTTCTCATGGTAACATGTCCGCAGTGGGCGAGGATGGAGAGCTGCCAGCGGGGGCGAAATACTCCGTTGCAGGCGCCCCCGGACTCCTAGCAGGCGGGGAGGTAGAGCAGAGTGGGGCACGACTGCCTTCCCAGGACTGGAGGTCCCAAGGCACTCTCCCTGCAGTGACCCTGCGTCAGCTTATGGGGTGGACCCCGAGCCCTGGCCAGGCAGGTCCTCTGGCTGACATGCTATGGTCAGGTACTGAGTCCAGACCACTTTGGGCCAGCATTGTGGAGCGATTCTCTTGGAACAGCTACCTCTCCAGAATGGCTCTTCGGCTTCATGCCAGGAACCCGGCCCCCAGATTGGGTGGTCTCATCTTAAGCAGCTTAGGGAACCAGAAAACAGTCACACACCGCAGTAAAATCGGAGAGCTTTATAGTCTGGGCGGAGTGTCTAAGAAGGCGCCCTCTGGGCTCACCTGCGCAGGTGCTCGACGGACGGGCAGAGGCACAGCTGGCACACAGTGGCAAGCTGTTAGTGCCTCTCCCCCAGGAGAGGTGGTACATTGTGTTCTCTTGCCAGCCTTACCCAGTGCGGGGCCTGGCCACTTTGCAGTAGCAGATGCTGCCACACCCTCCCGAGTACACATCTGTGCTCAGGGCATGACCCTGCTCTACTCTGGATCCATGGGGAAGAAGGTCCACAACCCAAGCCATGCTATGGCCCTGGGAGAGCTGAGGAAGGCAAGCAGGAGTGGGCTGGGTGGTGGACATTGGAGAAGCCAAGCAGTCCCACACCCTGCCTCTGTAAACAGACCCTGGTGGGTCCCTTCTCGGCCCCAGGCACATCCCTGAGAAACACCGGGGACTGGCTGCAGCTCTATCTGGGGAGGGCCAGGTGGTCCACCAAACCAGCTGCAACTCTGTTCTGTCCCCTCCCTCCCTGCAGAGCAGGCTTCTGCTGGGTTAATGCCCAGTACCTGCAGCGCCTGACCCCAGGGCCTGACCACCACCAAGGTCTCCGGCACAAAAATCAATGTAGAGTGGGCCAGACCACATGAGGGCAGACACAATGGCTGGGGAACATAGGTGGCAGGGTGGTCCTGGGAACGTGGGTGCATAGGCAGCAGCCTCCCCAAGTCAGCCGCTGGCAGTTCCCCTCTTCCCAGGACAATCAACTGCCTCTGGCAAGCCTAGAGTTCCTCATAGTCCCCACCACCAGGGTGGCGGCTGCTAGGGGCCCCACCCCCCAGGAAGGCTTCCAGCTCATCTGCAGCCTTCTGCTCTTTGCTCCGAGGGGGCTTCCTCTTCTTCCTCCGATCCTCCTTGCCTTCCTCCTTGTCCTTGCTCTTCTTGTGTTTGCTTTTCTTTTTTGTAGCCTTTTCTTCCTCCTGAAGGTCATGAAGAGCAGATCTAGAGTCAATGGGCAACCCACAAGGCTACATCCCACCTTCCGGGACCCTGGGCTATCCAGGCTAGCAGTGGTGGGCAGGGCGTGTACCTCTTTGCCTTTCTTCTTCTTTTTCTTCTTCTCTTTAGAGGGAAGTTTGCTGTCTTTATCTGCACAAGGAAGACAACTGAGCTCCTACCTGCAACCACTTTGGTCAGGCAGAAGCTGCTGCAGATACCCCATTCCCATCAAGGCCTGGTCCCACCGGCAATCTAGGGTGTTCCCATGTATTTTTGTGCTGGTGAGCTTTGAACCAGCCCAGGATGAAAATTTTTTCCCTCCTTTTAGGGCTGAGTTGGCCCAAGTCTGCCCCTGGGCTGCAATTCCAAGCACATCTACTGGGCGGCTATCATTTTTTCCAAAATAGTTCTGTCCCAAAGGCCTGGGACACCTGAAAGCCTGGAATATTGTCAGAGCAGATGGCACAGAGGAGGACCCATACGGAACCATGAACAGGGTGATGGGTGACAGTCTTGGATGGCAATTTTGGGCAGTTCCTCCCATTCTAGTATTCTCATAGCTATGATGAAGAAAAACATAGGCAGGCAGGCTAGGATTTCTAAACACAGGTCCCTGGACTAGCACAGGATGGGGACCTCCAAGTTATCCCAGGCTCTAAGGAGAGGGACAAGCCCCAGGCCCTGCCTCCTACCTTCATCACTGCTTTCCTTAGGTCCTGTCTCCTCCAGGCCCAGCCCGAAGAGATCTGAGTCATTCTTCAGTCTGAAAGCAGGGACTGGGGGCTTGGAGGGGAGGGGTGGCTGGGCAGAGCCAGTGTCCTCATCAGTCACATCAGAGAGGTCTTCTCTTACTGGGAACGCATCCGCTCTCCTCTGTGTGTCCGATTCCTCACTTTCAAAGTCAGGGTCATCCATGACGAAGGACAGCATCTGAGCAGCAATGGGCCCCTCAGGATCACTTTCTGATGACACTTGCTTGTCCTTCCCTTCCTGGGGTCTATGAGAGCCATCAGTGGGGGGCTTGGTACTGCCGAGGTCAGGCCCTGAGCCAGCGGTGAGACCATCTGACCATGAAGGTATGGCTCGTGTGGGAGCTCCCTTCTTTTGTGGATGTGAGGCCTTGGTGGAGGACCTTCACGTAAGAAGAAATGTCAGGAGTTCTGAGGCCACCCTAGGTTGCCACTACCTCAGCTGGCCATACCCTGGGGACTTCAGCCCATACCATTTTGTCTCAGGCTCTGAGCACTGCTGAGGAGCCTCTCTGGGGTGGCCTTCCGGTCCTTCAGCTTCCTCCTCACTGGAAAGACTGATGTTCTTACTGGGGATGGGCTCTGAGGACAGCAGGGAATTGCCATGTGGCTGGTCTTCTATGTCCACGTCGTCCTGGAAACCTGCCACCATCGGGTTCCCTCCTATGGCCTCCCCATCATCACTGCAAAGAGGGGTAGGCAGTCACAAGTTCTGCGGGGGGGCCTCATGCTGCTGATTCCCCGCCCCAGTGCCTCGTCTGTGGTACCGTATTCGAGAGGGAAGACTTCCTGGGCTGTCACAGGGGCTGCTGAGTACAGCTGGGAGTAAGAGGGAGGGAAACACTGCCTTGCTGCTGGCCAGTGGGGAAATCAGTGGAGAGGAGCCCTTGACCCCACTGAACATGGTGATGCTGGAGATGCTAACAGTCATTCAACATTTGACCTGCTAGAGGGAGTGATCTCAGAGCTTAGCTGTAGACAGATTTTAGGGTGTTGTTAAAAGACAGACAGGGGGTTGTGGGAAGGGCTAGCTGCAGGAAGCCAGACCTGGCCAAGGCCTCTTGTCTGGGTCCATATGGGAAGACCCAGGTAGCCTTCACTATACCTACAGACTGTGCCAGGATGTATTCAGAGTGCCCTGCCCTGCTAGGTCATCTGCCAAGGTTCCTGCTGTCCTAGGAAGATTCTAGCTCCGTGTTCTCCAGTCTGCTGTGGGCATGAACTGCCCCACTCCATGGTGAGCTGTCTGTCTGTCTGTCTACTCCAGGGTGGTGATTAGTCTAAGCAGGCCTTTGACACATGGCCTGAGCCCTTTCCTCAGAGCTAACTGCCAATCAAGCAAGCACAAGAAAGGCTGTGTCCACAATCCCCAGCAGTGTCTTGGGAGATGCAGGTATGAATGGGATGGGGAAGCTGTGTTGACTAGTCCTTGAGGTGGACCGTGTGCTGGGCTCCACCAATCCACCATTACCTGTCACTATCCTGCTGTGGGCCTTTGGCTCCAATTTTCTTCTTGTCTTTAGGCAGGGTTGTGTCTTCCAGGAAGCTTCGGTCAAGGCCATCTTCAGGGACAAAATCCTCAACGTTCTGGACTCTTGCTGGGGCCTCTAGAGCTGGAGCTGGCTCTGTAGAGAAATGCTGTTTCTTCCTTCTATGGTTCCTGACCCCGCGCTAGGCAAGCCCCAAACTGGGCCTGTAGGACTGGGACTTGACAATTCATGCACCCTGGCTCAAAGTCATAGGCTACTTTAGAACTGGACCAGGCAGTGACTGGCCCAAGAGGGAGGAGCTTGTCAGGGGCACAGGGACCACATTCCCATCTCCGAGGGACATGAGGCTCAAGATGCCAGAAGCTAGCCCCCAAACCACATGTTGAGAGGGCTGCTCCCAGGCCTACCTGGAGGTGAAGGGGTCACTTCTGCAGCTGGTGAGGTCCCAAACAGCCGAGAGATGATACTGCGACGCTGGGCTGGAGCTGGGACTGAAGGTTGCACAGAGGAGGGCGTGGCCTCCAAAGGGGGTACAGGAGATGGTGCTTTGGGACAGGTGGAAGAGACACTGAGGGACAGCTGGGGGGCAGGCTGGGGAGTGCTGGGGCTGGAGCTCCCTGTGGACACAGCACTTGGAGGCACAACTGGCGACTGGGAGCCTGAGGATGGGCTCTGCCCATTGGCTGCCAGAGGGGATGCATGGCCTCGACTTCGAGCCTCCATCATTTCAAGGAAGCTAGGAGTGGCAAAAGGACAGGAAGTGAGGAGCTGGCTTTCCCTTGGACCTTTCTCCAAGGCTTTCAGCCATCAGTGTCCTTTTTGCATTTATACTATTAAGTAGAGAATAGGGCCGGCCTGCCAATCAGCTGCCCCAGTCTTTGGTACCCAGACTACTGCCTCGCTTATCCTGTACCTTTATACTGGTACCAGCCTGGGGAACTGAGTCTCATAGCAGATGCATGACCAGAGCCTACCAGGACCAACTATTCTTTTTTAAAAAATTTATTTTTTATGTGCACTGGTGTTTTGCCATGGGTGTCGGGTCCCCTGGAACTGGAGTTACAGACAGTTGTGAGCTGCCATGTGGGTACTGGGAAATGAACCCAGGTTCTCTGGAAGAGCAGCCAGTGTGTGCTCTTAACCACTGAGCCATCTCTGCAGCCCTCAGGACCAACTATTCTTACAGGATTTGGGTAGGCCAGTGGCTGTCAACAGTATCCAACTAGTGACCAAGAGGGAGGTGTGGCTGGTTATGGCCAGTGGGGTAGAGTTGCTAATCACACATGTGTAGTTTGCTCTAATCACAGGTTTGTGCTGATCCACATGTAGGAACCATACCAGATGTCTGAGTACTTTGTAAGTTCTGTTGGCTCCAAAGTATTTGGGGGTATAGAGTGCCAGAGTCAACACAGCCCACCCTCAGGAATATCTGCCCTCACTTTCTACAAGAACTCAGGGGGCTGCAGGGAAATTGAAACTGTTCTCAGATCAGCATGGCTCAATTCACAGTATTAATCCACTTGTTCTAGACAAGTGCTGATCCGACTAAATACTTTATTAGATGAACAGGAAGGGCTTTGGCTGATAGCATGGAGTACCTGTCCTAAGAGGTTGAGATGAGCTGCCGAGCCATGTTACTCAGCTGCTCCCCATATTGCTCCACACTGAGTACTAAGGTCTTGGCTGAAGAATACTCAGGTTGACTCATCTACCATGCATGCATATATATGGTGCTGTCTCCACTGCCTCACAGGTGCAGACCAAAGCTTGGCACCTGGCTCTTATCTGTGGACACTAGGGCCCACTGGCAATACAGGGCAGTACCCACCCTTCCCACTCAGGGTAGTCAGGGCCTGCACATCTGTAGTGGCTGGCTCACGTACATGCTGTAGTTCTGGTCCTCGGTTTCCTGCTGCACTGATAGCTCCTCCAGTGTGGCATCAATGTCTAGTTGGTTTGTCTCCAGCTGCCTCAGCAGTGTCTCCCTCTGTAGAGGAAGTGGACACAGCTGAGTATGCCTCTTCCTATGAGGCATGAGGTCTGGCTGGCTGCAAGGTCAGCTTGTGTGGCTTGGAGGATACAGGTCAGTCATACGGAGCCACACCAGAAAGCGCCACCTGTTTCCACATCATGCTTTCAGTTGTCACTAGCACTTCCTGTTGGCTACAGCAGCCTCTCAGGCCACAAAACCATAGCAGCAGGTGTTTAAGACATCTGGGGAGCCCCAGGGGCAACTGGGTGAAACTCTGCCAGGTACAAACTGAGCAAACGGCACACTTCTAACCTGATGACCAAAGCTGATCAGATCAAGCCTCTGGGTCCAGTTGCCATGTCTTCTTGCATTTAGATTTAATCTTAAAATACAGCAGCTTTCAGGCTGTGTGAGGGGACAGCAGATGAACTAGGACTGAGTTTTTAGCTGGAAAAGGTCCCGCTGGATAGACACTGCTATCACAAGAAACATGACCCTGGCACTGGGCATGCCTCAAGCTTACACCGAGAGTGTTTTTCAGCAAAGAGCAAACAAACCAAATGGAGAAAGTGGAGTAATTACAGACCTCGAGACCTGGAGTCTGTTTATATTCTGACGAATGAAAAGAAATACATGAGAATGATGCAGATCAACACTCAGAACAAGCAGGCATATATAATAGACAGATGAGGCTCCTAATTTAAAACTAAAGATGTGGTATACCAAGAGAAACCTAGACAGCTACATCAAATACATTACATAAGTCTATTGAGACTTTACTCTGCATATTGACCAATAACTGGTGATTTAAATAATTCTGGAATTATAGTTTATTTTCTCAGACAGGGTTTCTCTGTGTAGCCCTTGCTGTCCTAGAACTCGCTTTGCAGACCAGCTGACCTCAAACTCAGAGATCTGCCTACTTCTGCCTCCTGAGGGCTGGGACTAAAGATGTGTGTCAGCATACTCAACTTAGTTTTTGTTTTCCCCTTCCCCCAGACAGTGTTTCTCTGTAACAGCCCTGGATGTCCTGGAACTCAGAGAGATCCTCCTGCCTCTGCTTCTAGAGTGTTGGGATTAAAGGTGTGCACTACCACTGCCCAGCCTTACAGTTGTTTTTTAAAGACTTGTTTTTGTAATTTTTATGTGAGTATGTGTGAAAGCCACATGTTTGAATGCCCAGTCTAGAAGAGTATATTGGATCTCTTGAAGCTAGAGTTACAACAGCTGTGAGCTACCCAGTGAGGTTGTTGGGAACTGAACTCAGGCACTCTGGAAGAGCAGCAGGCTTTACTAACCACTGAATCATCTCTCCAGCCTCATGGCTGTCTCCTGTATCTAGGTCTGGCCTTGAACTTGCCACATGACTAAGGATGGTGTTGAATTTATTTTCTTCCTTGCCTCCACCTCCCCACTGCTGCGATTATAGGCGAAAGCCCCCCCTGGCTTATATAGGACTAAGGACTGAACCCGGAGTGCTGTGCACAGCAGCTAAGTAATCTAACGACTGAGCTACATCCTGAATCCAAAAAGTCATTCTAAAAAAGTTGTTATTTATTTAATGTATATAAATGTTTGGTCTGCATACCATGTACATGCCTGGTGCCCATAGAACCAAAAAGGCATTTTGGATCCCTTGAGAATGGAGTTGCAGAGAGTTGGGAGCCACCACGTGGGAGCTGGGAATTGAAAGCCATCTTCTAGAAGAGCAGCCAGCCCCTCCAAGATGGAATGGTT